CAGGCGACAGGTTCCCCACAGCCAGAGATAAAATGGTAAATGGTCGAAAGGGAGGTGGCAAATCGACTTCAAAAATGATTATTTTAGGTATAAAAACGGAAGGCTGCTTCGCAGCTCTGACAATATAACTCTCAAAGAAGAAGAGGAAGGAGTGTGTACTCTGCATATTCAAAATACGGACTTCAGCAACGAGGGGCTTTACCGATGCGTGGCCGAAAACGCTGCTGGTTCTTCCCAAACTTCGTGTACCGTTAAAGTGTTCGGTAAACACTCACTGAAATGTTTATAGTTATAGATCTATTCAACACGTTTAGAGCTAAAACAGCCCTACGCTTTGAAGAAGGACGAAGGGGCCATACCACAAGTCATAGAGGCATTGCAAAACGTAAAGTTTGAGGAATCACAGACGCTGAAATTGAGTTGCCGCTTCTCTGGCAGACCTGTGCCACATATGGCGTGGTAAAAGGGCAACAGATGTTCGTTCTTTCATATACAACACTGCGGTTTTCAGGTACAAGGACAGTTTGCCGTTAGTACCAAGGGAAGGGATAAGAACGGAAGAACTTAGCAATGGTGTTGCGATACTAACAATCGCCAATGCATCAAGTCTTGATGCCGGAGGTTACAAATGTGTTGCGGTGAACGAGTTTGGGTCTGCCACCACGAAGTGTTTGGCAACGTTCGAAAGTATGGTTTGCTATTCGCGTTGGTCGAAAATGTGCTAACCTCTCAAAACTGAGGTGCACTTCATGATCTTTAATTACAAATATAAGTTTCTACTTGGCACCTTTCTTACAGTCACTTTCATTTATGAGGGTCGGCGACCAAAGACGTATGAAACGCTAAGAGTCACTCTTCAGATTCAAGAAATAAATTGCGGTGCCTTGCTATAATTTTGTCAAAATGCATTACCCGAAAAATCGTAGCTTGTCTTTGCTTATTATGGATCTGAATCTTGGACCAACTGAAAGAGAACATCTGAAGATTACAGCGGTACCAAACAGACATGTAATGTTCGTCATGACTTTGGGTGTGTAATGGGAGGGGGTTGAGGAAGTGTGTACCGTTACGGTCAACCAAAAAACGAGTACCTAATCAATGATCCATGAAGAATAGGATCAACGTAGTGTTGTAATGTGATAATGTCAGAGCCTGCGATACTCTCAGGCCGTGTGATGCGCGCTCGGTACGGTTGCGATTCGCCTTGACCAGTCTGATAGCAGTTTAAAAAATAGCACTAAGAATAAGCCGTACCTTAAAAGCATTGACTCCTAAATACCTGACAGGATCTCACTTTATGACTGTGGTTTTGAGAAGAATTTCTTACAGATACTACTATAAAAAATCAGGGAGAATAGATCTAGAGTTGACATGCAAAGGACACTCCTTCACGTCCCTATATGTCATCAAGAAAGCTTTTTCAGATAAACATAATACGCTGTGCTTTACTCCAGCACTTCAAGCCAGCGTGCTGCTATGAAGGCTTGTTTTATGCATTATTTTATGGAATAACCTAACGTCCATAAGATTTTGATTTTGATTTTATGCGCCATCGATTTCCTACATCTAAGTGTGAGTCGTTTAGCTCCTAAGCGAGTGCGCGAAGTTCCCACTGCCGCAGTTCCTGCTTCTGGTTTCGTTTACCCGTTGCATGACATGAGGATTGTTGAAAATCAAAACCTATTATTGGAATGCAAATATGCTGGTCCAGAGAATCCGGACTTCGTCTGGTACTTTTACATGTTTTTAAAAGTTAACACGATACCATAAAAATCTTTAAAGGTTGAAAGACGGGGAAGTGTTACCGATGTCCGACAGAGTGACCATGACGGTGAAGCCAGACGGCACTGTTCGACTTTTGGTACTGAACGCGGTCAGAGATGACGAAGGTTTCTATCGCTGCGTAGCCAAATCTGGGGGTCGTACCTTGGCCAGCACAAAAGCGACCGTTACTGTGACAGGTGATTATCAGGAACGAATTTGATAACAGATTACAGTACGGGCTTTAGCATCATTTGAAGCCGTTCCTGTTCCTTCCAGAGAAGTCCGTCATGGCAAGGCGCCATACTTTGTGGTGCCTCTCGGAAGAAAACGGCTGGTGCAAGGTCAGGATCTGTTTTTGACCTGCACAGTCAGTGGTGATCCAGTAACTTCCACAAAATGGTGAGTCATATACAACTTAATACGCGCAGTGAGGAATCAAAATCTTTGTTACATTTCAAAACTACTAACCACTGCTAGCTTTAGAGGGTTTGGCTGCAAATTTTTGAATAAAGATGGGAGTTCGCCCATCTGGTGTATTTCTGCATTACTTACCTAGAGAACGCCTAAAATCTGACCCAGAGCAACAGTCCGTAGGCATGCCTGCGAAAGTATGAGATCCATGGGCAGCTGCTAAGAGACATCCATTTACTATATGCTTATAACCGATTCTTTGAGTCGTATTTTCGCTTTACAAATCAGATTTAAGGCTTTATTTCTTGTGTCTTCACGGCATGTCGGACAATGTTCCTACTCCTAGATATTTAGAGAGTTATTCCAAAAATTAAAAGACAGTCGGTATGTCGATCTCCAATGTACGTTGTTACTCAGGGGCCATTTGTTCCGCCTTTCATTTGATGAAGCTTATAGTGTGACGCTGCCAACAGTCAAGAGCACTGTATTTTTTAGGGTAGAGTCTACCGTTATGTGGCAAGCACAGTTCTTATTCTACCCTTCCTTTCCCACAGAATGATACATATTATCTATCTTGGAACGAAGAAAAGCGAGCGATCCGACCAGGCTCTGATCCGGGGCCTTTCGGTTCTGACTCCAAAGATATTTATGCAGTTTAGCGGTTCCATTAAATTAAGTCCCTGCACTGCCAGATGCATTCACAGCATTAGCTTAGCTACATCACCATCTTACTCATCACCAATTACCTTAAAGTAAACGGTGTTCTGTTAATCTTCTCGAGTTGCATCGTTAATATGGGTTCATGCCCTGGAGTTAAGTTGATAATTGGTTAACTGATTAATTTCTTCTAAACCGAATTTCGTTTTGTGTTACATAGCTTTCTTACTCCTAGGTGCATCAGAGCAATTTAAGTAGCTCACCATCAAGGAACAAATGGCAGGTCAATTGTTGTCATATCTGGTTTTCAAAGCGCTAAGAGCTTATGAACATCCTGAAGAATGCTTAAACTTGTACTTTCGTTATTATGGAGGCATGCCACAAGTTCTTACCTCGCTGATGACGAGAATTTGACAGATTATTAAATGATGCAAGTGCTCAGATTTCATACAGTTGTGGCCTTCTCAATCCCTCCTAAGCAGCTGGAAGCAGGGGGAGCTGCCATATGCCTTGAAACTTGGTCTTGGAGGATTAAGCGTGCACAGCATATGACCGGATATTTGTTGTATTTCAGAAAGCATATACGAACCGTAGATGGCGACCTCGCTTGAATCAGAATTGCATTGTTTCGTCTTCAATTAATGCTAAGTTCATCATAATAAGATCCCTGAAAATATAATTATAAATATCATTTCGCGAAATCATGACAATGAAGAGATGCACTTTCATGACTGGGTCAGTTTTGGCGCTCTTTTCATGAAATTGACGGTCAATGATCTATTTTTTAATGCCATCAGCCAGGAGTGCCTCATGTTTCAAAGGCAGAGTCAATTGTGTCTGAATGTCAAGCATGGTTGTGGTCACCTGGTTTCCTACTTCCTGCCCACAAAATTGCACTTATTTACCATCTCCAGAAGGAAGAAAGGCGAGTGGCCCTGACTGGAGCACAAACCCGAGACCTCTTGATTCTGAGCCTGCCTCTCCATCAGCTGAGCTCCCCTTTCTAAAACAACATGTGGTAAAATCCTTGCTCAGTGACATTCATAGATCAGGAAGATTGCTCCATCGCCGAAATCTAGCTTGACCAGAGTTCGAAGCCGACCTTTCAGGTATTGTGCCTCTAAGCTACAAGATGAGAGAGAGGAGAGGAGACTGGACTGATGGTTGATCGCATGGGTTGACTGTATTTGTTCAACGGTGGAGGCATGTAATGCAAAACTGAACTTCTCTGAGCAACTTTTGTCTGCCGCTAGTGCAAACATGTATCATTGTATGTTTTTAG